AACAAACAAACACACATACATACATATTATATATATACATACATGCATGCATTTGTATATGTATGCATGTAGATATACATATGTATATATATATATATATTTATATGTATACATATATATATATATACATACACACAAATTTTATGCGTCACGAGGCTATGCGCCTCTTGATTTCTGCTGGGGCCAACCTCACCTGTGGCATCCTTGCAGAACACGCCGTCACGGCAGCCGCTATTGCAAACGATCCTGAAGGCGTTCGCATCCTATGTAAGGCGCGGTGTGATCCCACGAGACCCAACAGGCTGAACATGCACGCCATTGATGCTGCGGCAGCTATTGGTGCCAGCGTCGCCCTAGAGGAGCTCTTGATGCAAGCAAGGCACGATCTCCACAAGGTGGATTTGTCCAACTCCCTCCATTGGGCCATGAGTTTCTCATGTCTCCGCTTCAGAAAGCTGTTGAGTATTTGCTGCTTATAGCTGGTCATATTTTCTGAGCGTATGATGTTGTTGGAGAATTTTAGCAGAATCCTTCTGTGATCTCTACATAGCTCCAGTGCAATGCTAATGACATGACAACCACATACCTAGCTCCTAAGTTGGTGAAGTATAAGGTTTTCGGGGTGGCAGCGCAGAGATTGTCCACCGGCTTCTCGACGTCAAGGCAAACATGGACTACCTGAATGTGACACAAGACATCCTGGTTCCTAGGCTGCTGTATTACAGTAGATTGCCGTGTCTGCCAGTGTATTATCGTGTATTCTGCAGGTTGTAGATAGCTATATTTTAGAGTGCACAACAGTGTAGTCGAATATGTTATCGTAGATGATAGTGGGGTAGAGTAGACTATGGACAAATAGAGCTTTTACTCTACTAGAATAGACCCACGAGGATTGTTTTGTTCCCAAGGATGTCTCACCAGCCCAGGTTCTCAAGCTTATCGTGGCAGCGAAGAGCTTTCAGCATAGATTCTTAGTAGCTGAGTGAGTACACTTTACATCTTTTTTGGGATAATCTAATCCCTTATAGAACTCAAAGTGTGCATATTTTGGGTCTTATGAACTCAGCAACTAAGGATTTGGAAGGGCCACCATGATGACGCGGTGGATCTACCACCTCCAGTACCAGACGCCTCTCATGGCAGCTGTGATGTCGGGACAATATGAGGGCGCAGCAGCCTTGGTGGCATGTGGGGCGCGCCTGGATGTGCGGAACGCACGCGGGTGGACGGCTTCAGATTTTGCGCGAGAGCAGTTAGTGCCAGACTTTCTGAAGAAGGCTTTTGAGGGACAGGCACGAGACTGCGAGACGGTCTACACATTGGCCATCGCGAATTCCCATGTTGAGCTGTAGCTTTGGTTGCGCCGGTTGTGCAGATTCTCAGATCCCTGGTAGCCGAGCTTAGTGAAGTCTTATTCTTGGCCACTGGCGATCTGAGAGTGTGGCAGTGTGCCCAAAAGGCAGTGTGCCACACGGCAATGTGCCAAATGGCACTAGGCCGTTCTTCTGCTGGCATGCTCATGTCCATTTCCAGGCAGAAACCCAGCATTTCCCATGCAACGCTTTTTACAGCCCGTTGGAATTCCTCAAACTCCGCTTTCAGCTTGCTGCTCAGTGTCCGTTGGACTGGTGATTTTTCTGCGAGCTGGTGGTTGTGGATTGGTGCTGTTCAGCCGGTATGTTTCATAATTTTGTTTCTCTACCATTACCTTGCTACGATTAATGAGGTTTGTGCGATCATGACTGTTACCATTACTTGTCTTCTTGTTGCCCTTTCGTCAAGACCCTCCGAAGATCAAGCTTATTTGGCAACTAAGAAGGTCCCGATATTTCACCCTGAAAGCAACCCTGAAGAAGCCGTATTCACATAGGGGTTTCCGAAAAGAGGGGACCCTAATATAGCACCCTAAATGGTAGGATCCTCATTATAAGGACCCCCAAAATAAGGTACCCTAATTGTCGGAAACTCCCGCATTGTTACTTGTAAGAAACAAAGAGAAGAGCCATGGTCGCAGTGCAGCCCCTGCCGCCTTCTGATGGGCAAAGGGTTGGGGTGCTCCTACGCAGGAAGGCCATCAGATTGGGGTTTAGGGTTTAGGGTATAGGGGATCGGGTGTAGACTATCGGGGCCTGAATACTGACCATTTCCGGCTAGAAGCGGGACGTCCTTGCATCCTCATGACATTTAAAATGGGTGTGCGGAGCTAGCGTGGTGTTTTCGGGTGATGCGAGAATCGCTGACTTCACGGTAATACGGGAGCCCGAATAATTACCAATGCTTCGTCTTAGAGCTCCTCAATAAAGTGATAGTAAAATATACCCCAAAACCCTGTTCTAATCATCAAGGCTCCTATGTTGGTCTTCTCGGTCGCGAGAGGTCAAATCTCTACAAGCGAGTCGAGGGCGCGCAGCTTGGACCCTCGTGTTGGTCAGCAGAGCCTTTCCTTCCATGCAGCTCGGCCCTAGACACTAAAACCCTAAGCCCTACAACCCTAAACCCCAAAACCCTAAACCCTAAACCCTAAACCCCTAGAGCCCTAAACCCCAAAACCCTAAACCCGGATTGATTCAGGATTCCAGGGTTGAGGAAATGCAGGGGCTTGAATAATGAGCAATAGCATTCCGTAGGGTTCTGTTTTATAGCTATGTGGGAGTTCCGAACATTACAGTACCTTATTTTGGAGGTCCTTGTAATAAGGATGCTACTATTTACGGTACTATTTTGTGGTCCCCTATTTTTGGAGACCCCCATGTTATACTATATCCGAAGACCTTGTTCCAATGCCCTCAGCGTTAGCCTTGAATCATCCCTAAAGCCTAAACCCTAAACCAAACCCAAACCCTAAACCCTCAAGCCTAAATAAACCCTAAGCCCTAAACCCTAAAGCGCAAAGCCCTTAAGCCCTACTCTCCAAAAAGCCCGGACCCCCTTCAAAGAAAGGCCTCAGCTTGCGCTCAGAGCCCAGGATTTAGGGTTTAGGGCTTTAGGGTTTTTATGGCTTCAGGCTTTAGGGTTTGGGGGTTTAGGGTTTAGGGTCTTCAGGTTTTCTTAAGCCATGTACTGGCGGGCTGCTCTTTTTGCGGTCTGCAGTGTTGTAGATCCTCAACCCTACCCGAAACCCTATAAGTCGTCCCGCAAGCCCTAAACCCTAAGCCCTAAACCCTAAACCCTAAACCCTAAACCTGACTCTCTTCAAGAGAGTCATCCTAACAAGGCCCGGTGCCCTGGCGCCCTCGCCTTCGGGGGCTTCTTTGAGCCCTCGGTTGCTGACGTCCCGGATCTCCAAGGCGCCTTTCGGGGTTTAGGGCTTTGGGTTTGGGGTTCAGAGTTCAGGGTTTAGGCTTCAGGATTTAGGGTGTGGGGTTCAGGGTTTAGGGTTGTTTTTTGGAGTATTTTGTAGGTTTGCTAGCGGGGGCTTTCACAGGGTCCCGCGGCTGTATCAGGTCTTTGCAGGCTGTGTCGCTTTGTTCAGGGAGGACCTTTGTAGGACTGTTACAAGGCTTTATTCAAGGTTGATATAGGCTTCTGCAGGGTTTTACTAGTTTTCGGTGAGGTTTCACTATAGGGTTAAGGCGTTGTAGAGTGTTACAGGTGCAGGGCTACATGCCATAAACGCACTTCTATAGGGATTGCTACAACCCTGTACCCTAAACCCTCAACGTAAATGCTTCAAAAAGTTCCGGGGCTTTACGGCACAGGGCCTGGGTTGAGGGGCTTCTTTCTCAGGGTTTAGGCCGGCCTTAGTTCCTTTCGGGTTTAAGACGCAGGGTTTTGATGGTTTCGGACACGGCTTTTGCCGGATTGAAGACCTTACTGTATGGTCTCCGGCTTTTAGGAGTTGGGGCTCAGGGCTTTCACTGTTTGGGGTTCGCCTGGTAGACTTCTTCGGGTTTAAACGGACTGAACCCCTTTTTACAGCACAAGGTTTTGTAATGTACAACCCTTAAGAGAACCATTTAGTCGACCTTTAGAAAACCCTTGGACAGCCCAATACAAAAATCCTTAGTATAACCTCCCTCGCAAACCGCTAGAAAACCCTTTCTTCCGGCCCTTCAGGAGCCTTTCCTGCAGTTATGTGCTAGCAGTGTGATCCTTGTTGTGATTGTTGCTCTGCTAGAGGTGGTGGTGTTCTCCATGTCCTGCAAGAACTAAACTGATGGATCTTTCAGCAAACCCTCAGCCCTAAAGCCCCAAACTCAAAACCAGAAAGCCCTAAACCCTCCCTAAACGCTTCACCGTAAAGCCAAGCCCTAAACCAAACCTTAGGCCCCAGAGTAATGTTACAGTTATAGTATAATATACCCCAAAACCCTATTCTAATGACTGAGATTCGGAGGCCAGATCTGCTGCTGCCGTCCTCTCGGAGGTTGCCTTGGTTGCGGACCCGGGTTTACTTGGAGGTTCATGGGTAGTTATAAGTGGGGCTATTTGGGGTTCCTTTTAAGGGATCCTTTACAGGGTTCTATAGGGTTTAGGGTTTAGGGTTTAGGGGTAGTTATAAGTGGGGTTATAAGTCCCCTAATGTGGGTTATAATTATAGTTACCCTACTTATAACTACCCATGAACCTCCAAGTAGGGTGATATAGAAGCGTATATAAACTGCCAATAGTATTCCTGAGAGTTCCCTATTCTTACCATACCATAAAGGAGCCCCAAAACCCGAAGCCAACTATTGAGGCCCCTACGTTAGGGTTCCCGGTTTAGGGTTTAGGGTTTACGTTTTTTAGGGCTTTAGGGTTTTACTGTTTTAGGGCTTTAGGGTTTTGGGGTTTAGGGTTTAGGGTATTTGGGTATTTGGGGGTTTAGGGTTTCGGATTTAGGGGGTTTAGGGTTAGGCTCTTAGTGGGCTTAAAGTGTTGGGGTTTGGAGGTTCTTGAAAAGAGTTCCTGAACTTGATTTGCGAAAGCATGGTAAGGATTTGTGGTGAGCACTATGCTCTCTCCTCCGTGATAACTTAGCCCAACTTCCTTCCTAAACCCTCCGTCTACCCTCTATTCGACCCTAACTAGCATATACCCCCCTGTTTAAGGGTACGCTGAGGGTCCGGGTTAAGAGCCTAGAACCCTAAACCCTAACCCCTAAACTCTAAACCCGACAGCACTTGGAGGTTCATGGGTAGTTATAAGTAGGGTTATAAGTATGGTAACTATAATTACAGCCCAGATTAGGGGACTTATAACCCCACTTATAACTACCCATGAACCTCCACCCTAAACCCTAAGCCCTAAACCCTAAACCCTAAAAGTAGGACCTCCCCATCTTCAACGAGTTCCATGTGGGAGCCGCCCTCTCGAAACTGGCGCGGCTCAAAAACTCCAAAAGCCTGGGCCCGCGGGAGATGAGGAGCCCTGCGTGGCGGAGGTGCAAGGACCCTAGCTTAGGGGCTGAGGCTTGGGGTTTAGGGGTTTAGGGGTTTAGGGGTTTAGGGGTTTAGGGGTTTAGGGGTTTAGGGGTTTAGGGGTTTAGGGTTTAGGGGTTCCTTCTTATGGTTTAACCAAGTTTAGATTAGGGATCCCAAAAGGTAGCCCCAAAAAGGAATTACAATGGAGACTATAGGGAGTAAGTAACCTTGAACCTTTCGGCATTTGTATAATCCCACCCTAAACCCTAAACCCTAAACACTAAACCCTAAACCCTAAACCCTAATAGGATCCTTAAAGGATCCTTTAGAGGTAGCCCTTCACGTGGAGGTTGGAGTTGCAGCTGCAGCGCCTGCTCTCCGCTGACCAGCTACTGGGTTCTTGTTAAGGAGTTCAAGTTAAGTTACCATAATAGGGATCTATAGTAAAGAATGGGGATCTATAGTAAAGAATGGGGATCTATAGTAAATAATGGGGATCTATAGGAAATACTAGGGGTCTATAGTAAATAATAAGGATCTATGGTAAATAATATGGTGTCTTTCTTGTGGCAGCCTAAACTAAAAGCCTTGACAAGAGCCCAGGCTACAGCCCCGCCAGCTTTCCAACTGCCTCTGGGCCCTGGCGGTTCTTAAGGAGACCCGGCCACAGGCGCCTTTTCTGTAGGGTTTAAGATTTGGAAATTTGGATTCAGGCATGAAGGGGTTTACAGGGGTTTTCGAGGGTTTAGGGGGGTTCTCGGGGGTTGTCGGTTTAGGGGTTTAGGGGGTTTAAGGGTTTAGGGTCGTGCACAGGTGCTCACGCTGCGCACGGTTCCCTTGCTCTTGCGACGCATGAAGGCAAGGGCCATGCAGATGAGCCTCAATTGATTTGGATTTAGGGTTTAAGGTTTAGGGTTTAGGGTTTAGGGTTTAAGGTTTGGAATGTAATTAGGGTTTACAATTTAGGGTTTAGGGTTTAAGGTTTAGGGTCCAGGGTTTAAGGGTTTAAGGGGTTAGGGTTTAGGGTTCCTCTCAGAGACAGAAACTTACCAAATCATGGCCATGGCCTCCACGGCCCTGAAGGCATCTGAGCCAGTATGACCTACACCCCAAACCCTAAACCCCAAACCCTACACCCCAAACCCTACACCCTAAACCTTAAACCTCAAACCCTAAACCTGAAACCCTACACCCTAACCCTTCAAACCCCAAATCCTCACTGCGGACCGAGGAAGGCCCAGGACGTATCCAACAACCTCTGGTCCCTGGTTCAGCTGCGCAGCGACGCCCCGGCAGAGCAGCTTTGTTCCGCTGCCGAAGCTTTGTCAGGGTCGAGGGGTTTGGGTTTAGGGGTTTAGGGTTTCTGTACATGTTTTCCTAAACCCAATAAGGAATAGAAGCTCAGATTTTAAATCGTACTATCCCAGCCATGAACCAGGAAGCTGTGGTGGGCCAGCTGCGCCGCACTGTGTGCTTTGGCCTGAGGTTCAGGGCAGACCTTGTCGGGGCTTAGAGTTAAGGGTTTAGGGTTAAGGGCGGTCATGTCCGACGGTTGGTAAGACTGAGGGCCGTGGCTTTTTGGCTGTTTTGGTTGCGGGATTGAGGCGTCTCAAGTTTGCCAGTGTAGATTTGACTGCGAGTGTCGCACGGTTTCTGGTTGAGCATTCTGCGGCCCATGGCCAAAACCAAAAACCCTAAACCCCCAAAGCACCAAAAGCTAAATCCTTATCCAACCCCGCTTCACAGTTTCGAAGGGGCTTCCTTTGCAGGGTTCCTTTGACTGGCTCCTTTCAAACGTTTCCGTAGAGGTTCCTTTAAGGGTTCTTTTTAGGGTTCCTTTAAGGCTTCTCCTCCCTGCAGGGTTCCCCTAAACCCTAAACCCTAAACCCTAAGCCCTAAACCGTAAACCCTAAACCCGAAACCCTAAAACCTACAGCCCTAAACCCTAAACCCTAAGCCCTAAACCCTAAACCCTAGACCCAAAACCCTAAGGGGTTTCGAGGAGCTCCATGAATCCTCAAGAGTTGACGAACAGCCTCTGGTCCTTGGCGCAGCTGACGGAGACGCCGAAGCTTCATTGCGCACGTTTAGGGAGTCGGCCTCAGGGTTTACGGTTTGGGGTTTGGGGGTTTTAGGGTTTAGGGTTTGGGGATTTGGGTTTAGGGTTTCGGGTTTGGGGTTCAGGGTTTAGGGTTTAGGGTTTTAGGGTTTAGGGTTTAGATCGCGAAACGGGCCCGGTTGGGTTTAATCGGGGTTTAGGGTTTGAAGGGTTGGGGTTTGGTTTAGGGTTTGGGGATTAGGGTTTGGGGCTTGGGGTTTGATTAGGGTTTAGGCCCGTTTAGGGTTTGGGGGTTTGGGGTTTAGGGTTAAGGGTTTGGGGTTTGGGGTTTAGGATTTGGGGATTAGGGTTTGGTTAGTCAGGGTTTAGGGTTTGGGGGTTTGGGAGTTTAGGGTTTGGGGTACTGGGGTTCACTCCACCCAGGCCGCCCGAAAATCCTTGGCGAGCCTTCTCGCACCTTAAGCCGATCCTGTTTTAGAAGCCTGAAGAATTGGCAATATCCCTGCTTCGCCCCCACCGAAAAATGAAAGCCATCCTCTGATTGACATACGGGTAGTTCTCTACAGTTAGGGTCCCCCCCAAAGTAGTACGGCACCCTTAAAATTTAAGGGTGCCTAAGCAGGACCCTAATTGAAAGACCTACCCATTTAGACACTGGATTCCAGGAGTCAGCCTCCACGGCGAAGGCCCACCGAGCTTTGGTGGCCCTGGCCAACCGCCTCGCGCAAAAGCCGGGCGGACTGATCCCGCAGGCATTCGACCCTGAGCCCTAAACCCTAAACCGGAGGTTCTTAGCCCATTTGCAGGTTCCGGATCTTTTCCTTGAGGGTTTTAGATTGGGTATAGCCGCCACTCAGCAACAGTTGACAAAAGCATGTAATACAGATATAATACGGCCGTTAATAGTAGCCCTATTATACGCTGTTACTATGCCCAAGTTTGGGGGTCAAGTTTAAGGTTTCAAAGTGGTAAGCGATGTAGGGACACTTATGACCAGCAGGATCCTGCTATCCAAGCTTGCGCCTGGCGGCAATTAGCTTTCCACGCTAGTAGACCGCCTAGAGAGTCTCCATTGCAGTTCCTTCCTTGGCTTATCCAATTTCAAATCTTACAAGGTAACCCAAAAAGGGAACTATAATGCGAATTCCCCTAAACCCTAAACCCTAAACCCTAACTCCCAGAGGGATCAGCAGTTTCCGGGATTTGGAGGAAGCCTCGTAGCTTCTGTGAGTCGGAGGATCCTGGGCTGCAAGGTATAGGGTCTTAGGGTCTTAGGGTCTTAGGGTGTAGGGTTTTGTGTTTGCGGTGTAAGGTCTTAGTCTTAGGGTCTTAGGGTCTAGGGTTTAGGGTCTGGGGATAGGGCGCTCAGGCCTTTCTGCGAAGAAGCTTGCAAGCCTGAGTTGAGGTGTCAGGAACATGACAGAAATAGTTCCACTATAATTTGTTCGTAGGCTTATGGTACCTTGGTGCCAAGCTGATCTGTCAGGCACTGGCCAACTGTCTCTGGGCCTGTGCGGAGCTCCAGGACGCTCTGCCCAACACCACGAGCGCTGCAAGCGTGCGACGCGCCATCCGGGAGGCTGTGCCTCCCTTGGCCTCCCGTGCAGCCGCTGCAGCTGGGAAGATGAGGCCGCAGGAGCTGAGCAACTGCCTCTGGGCGGCCGCGCGGATGCAACAGAGAGTTCCGGAAGTTCTGGTGCCAGTGAGGGCCGTGGCTGAGAACATCGCGCAACGTGCAAGTGAGATGAAGGAACAGGAGTTGATCAACAGTCTCTGGGCAGCTACGTGCTTGGCGGACACGGTGCCAGAGGTGCGTGAAGCCGTGCCGGCCATATCGCAGTACTTGCCGCCGAAGGCCATTCAACTGATCTCCGAAAGCAGAGAAAGCAGAGCACTTGGGGTATGATCGTGCCTGAGGCTTTGGAGTGGAGCAGTCGTCGGTCCGAGAACTTCATGCACCTTCAGCGGCAGCTGTTCAACCGCACCGGAGCATCCTGTTGAAGCGATCCCTCTCGGATCTCATTGAGCCGGCGCAGCTTTCCTGCCGCACATCCGAGCACTTGCTCGCACATGTAGGTGGAGGTGCTGGGCGTCAGCATCATCTGGAAGAAGACTTTTCACCAAAACTGAAGACCAGAGTCGCATAGAAAAAAGACCGTCCCATCACGGCTTCGGCAAGCGCAATGGACCTTTTGGGGGGTGGAGCTCCCATGGCAAATTGTGCAGCTCCAACACTGCAGAGTCGACAAAAAGCTCCATATCGGAATCATGCTAGGCTGGGCCTCGGGGTGTGTTGAACGCGTTGAAAGCATGCAGCGAGCACATGACGGTCGTGGTGGTGGTCGTGGTTGTTCTGCCCCTGCCAGAGACGCTGAGAGAGAGTAAACGTGTTGAGAGCAGTCCATGGGATCCGCTCGCTAGGACCTCAGATTTTGGGCTCCATCGTACTTCCTGTTTTCGTTACCTTATGGAACTTATAGGGGTGCTAAATGCATATGCTTACAGGTGTTAGGCACGGAACGACATTGAAGACTAGAGGTAGTGGTGGGCTACTTGAGGCAAAAGCAAGAGTGGCCCTCTCAGAAAGCCTCCTAAACCCCCTCTAAGCCCGAGACCCCAAAACCGGAAAACTTTTGTGTTAGGGTTTAGGGCTTAGGGTTTAGGGTTTAGGGTTCGTGTGTGTTGCGAGCAGTATAGGACTGCCTAGCGACCGCACCCGGGCTTGCCCCAGGCCCAACCAAGCCCCAAAGCCCCAAGTGTTACAGCCTTACAGCCCCTATTATAGTTATAGTATACTAGACACCGCGACCCCATTCTTATAAGACCCCTAAATGACCATCCAATCGCCCCCAACTCGTTTGCCACGTATTGCCGATGGCGGCACGCACCTCTTTCAGTTTCGCGCCGCCCAGCCGGGCCGTCTGCCTTGATAAGAGGCTCTCTAGGTGTAATCGGGCTTGTTTAGGGTTTAGGGTCAATCGTCTTCGGGATCATGTGCTCAGACCGGACTGTGAAGAAATAAGGGTTCTGATTGTGTGTTAGATGGCAAGGTCCAGGTTCTCATTCTTGGCTTCTGGGTTGTGAGTAGACGCTCGGGCACTGCGGGTTGAGGCTGTGCAGCATGTCGCCTCTACCTGAATTGGAAGGCTCCAAGGGCATTGAAGCTGGGTAGCCCCATCATCAGCAGTAACTTCGAAGGATTCGCCAGCCCACAGCTTACTCTAGTTCCTGAGGGAACTAGCGACTGAGCTTTTTGACAGGGGGGCTGGAGTGGTATGTTACACAACAGGCTTTTCGTTGTAAGTGCGGGTTACAAAGAGCTCTGAGTATGTATCATGCGCAAGAAGGGTAGCCAATCTGTCGGCTTTAGGTGGATAAGCTCAACAGAGTCACGAGGGAGGAGTGTAACCCTAAACCCCAAACCCAGATCGGGATCGCATTGGTTTTCTTCGTTGGCGTCCCGAAGAAGAAACCCTTCGTTTCACAGAACTGATGTGTGCAGGGTCCTTATGAGGGTTACTACAAGGAATACTTTATGGGCTGCTAGAAGGAATCTTGTCAGGGTTACTATAAGGAATACTATAAGGGTGTAGTAAAGGGGCCTCAATAATTCCAATAGGGTGTCCAGGCAGCGAAACCTCTGGGCAGCCGGCTGCGAGAGACCTGCCCCCCTAGGACACAACTCGGTGCTTCACCCACTACCCTAAACCCTAAGCGCCTAAACCCTACACCCCTAAAGCCCTAAACCCTAAACCCCTAAACCCTAAACCCTTGAACCCCTGAACCCTTAAACCCCTAAACCACTGAACCCCTGAACCCTAAACCCTACACCCCTAAACCCCTAAACCCCTAAACGCCTGAACCTTAAACCCCTAACCCCTAAACCCCTAACCCCTAAACCCCTAAACCCTAAAACCTTAAACCCCCAGACCCCTAAACGCCTGAACCCCTGAACAGCCCCTGAACCCCTGAGCCCGGGAGCTTCTCAGGTTCTCCGACCTGCCCCAGACCAAGATCTCGAAACAGGCCACTTGGGGTTTAGGGTGTAAGGGTTTTAGGGTTTAGGGTTTAGGGTCATTTAGGGTTTATGGTCATTTAGGTTTTAGGGTTTAGGGTTTAAGGGTTTCAGGGTTTAAGGGTTCAGGGTTTAGGGTTTAGGGTTTAAGGGTTCAGGGTTGAGGGTTTAGATCTCGAAATGGGCCCGGCTCGGTACGCGCTGCCAGTGGGAGTGAACAACAATGGCAGTCATGATCATAATGAAAAATCATTCATCATCGTAATGTATGTATATATACTGATAGGGTTGAACCCCAATAAGAATCATAATCATAGTCATGACAACAACCAGCATCACAAAGAAACTTATTTCGACAACTGTAGTATTCATCATAATCAGAATACTCGTAATCGTCACAATACCAAAAAGACTCACAAACATCATGGTAGCCAAAAGGGTATTTCTCCAAATTCCTTTTTTAAGACCCCAAATATAGTACGGCACCCGTGTAAACAGGGCCCTGAAAGGGACCCTAATTTAGAGAACTACCCAAATGTTCGTAATCATCATAGTGTTCGTCAAACCCAGACACGCAGCCCCGAGCCGGCTAGAAGGGGGCTTCGGGTTTAGTTGTTTAGGGTAGGCGGCTAGGAGAGTCTCACAGTTTGTGTCGGGATGCTCCAAAACTCTCGGCAGGTTGGGGGGTCGGTTAGGGGTTTGAGATGTAGGTCTTCAGGGGTTAGGGACGTTTAGGGTTCAGGGTCTGGGGATGTTCAGGGTTCCGGGCTTATGTGTTTAGAGTTTAGGGAGGTTTGGTGCTTGAGGGACTAATTAACGGTTTAGGGTTTAGGATACTCCTCGCTACGGAGCTTCGGGTGGAGCTCGCCGCTGTGTTCTGCTTTGGGAAGCTTCCGCCGACGGCTCGAAACTTGCAGCCAGAACAGGAAGTACCACGAGAAGGGTAGCATCCGGCCCGAAGGGCTGATACCGACATCCGTCCCATGAAGCGGAACCTGGACCTAAAGCCGAAACTGCGAGATTCAATACAACGCGGAAGCGCAACAGCCCCATGGCATGAAGCGTTCTAACCTCCAGCCCTTGCTGACTGCTGAAGTTGGCTGATCTGTGTTGAAGAAGATGTTTTTTATTGCTCTGATTTTTGTCGTTATCAGTGTTGTTGTCATTGTCATGTTTTTGTTTATAATTCCTATTGTTATTCATGTTGTTCTGATTGTTAAATGAGCTCCTCATTATGAGTCTTCTTCTCCTTCGTCTTGACCCTGAACCCTAAACCCTAAATGACCCTAAACCCTAAACCCTAAACCAGAACTGACCCTAAACCCTAAACCCTACATGGCCCTAAAACCCTAAACCCTGAATGACCCTAAACCCTGAACCCTAAATGACCCTGAACCCTAACTGACCCTAAACCCTAAACCCTGAATCACCCGAAACCCTTCTGAGCCGACCCAGGGCACGAGGCTGTCGAGGCCTTGGTGCCCCGCAGCCCGCGGCGGGAGAAGCTGCTCAAGGACCCTCAGCAGCCTGCTGGGGTTGAGGGGCTTAGGGGCTCGAGGGGTTTAGGGGTTTAGGGGTTTGGGGGTTTGGGCTTGAGGGGTTTAGGGGTTTAGGGTTTAGGGTTTAGGGGTTTGGGCTCGAGGGGTTTAGGGTTTATAGGGGTTCAGAATTCGACGTTCAGCTTCGGGAGATAAGAGCTGCGGTTTCAAGACGCAGGTTTATATACCTGGCGTGTGGGGGTAGATGTTGCTGTTGCACCCCAGTTGTTACGAGCTGCCACGAGCCTGCCAGCATGCCTTGTGATACAAACACCTACGAAACCTTACCAAACGGCAGAATTTTCCAAAGCCGAAGCCTAAGCTCAACACCCACAGCCCAAAACCCAAAGGCAGTAAATCCGAATCTCCAACCCGCCCAGCCGTTAATTCCTGAAGTTTCAGGCTAGGGGTTTAGGGCTGTGCAAGGGTTTGTAAGGGTTACGATGATACCATAATCATAAGGGTTTCTACATGAGCCACAATGACCCTCAACCTCAAACCCCGAACCCCTAAACCCCTAACCACAAAACCCTAAGCCCCTAAGCCCCAAAGCCCCAAAGCCCCAAAGCCCTAAAGCCCGAAACCCCTAAACCCAAACACCCCCAACCCGCAAACAAACTCAGATGGGAAACTGCCCAAATTATGGTCCCCTTTGGCGAACCCTATACAATTCGAGTCTTAGTAGTTCGGGAGCCCTAAAAAGGCCCTAGGTTTTGACAACAAATCCAGATAATAGAGGGGCCTGAATACTATACCTAAACCCGAAACCCTGAACCCTAAACCTACACTATACCCCAAAGCCCTAGTCTGATCTTCAACTCCTAAACCCTACGCCCCAAAACCCTCTAGTACTGTTGATGATATAAATCCTGCATTACCTTAAGGGCCGTAAACTATGGGAAATATGGAATCTTCCTTATTATTAATTATGGGTAACCTAAACCCTAAACCCTAAACCCCAAACCCTAAAACCCTAAAACCCTAAAGCCTTAAACCCTAAACCCCAAACCTTAAAACCCTAAAGCCCTATACCCTAAATTCCTTATTATGGGTACTGCCGGATTTATATCATCAGCCGTAGGAGCAGCTCCCGGCGGCCGAGCGGAGATCAGAGGCTCAGCTCACGACCTGCTGCCTGGCGGGGGTTGGGCCTCTGGCTTCGGAGTTTAGGGCCCTGTGGGCCTAGGGTTCAGGGTTTAGGGCTTTAGGGTTCAGGATTCTTGGGTTTAGGGTTCAGGGTTTAGGGGCTTCTGGCTTTGGAGTTCAGGGTTCTTGGGTTTAGGGTTCAGGGTTTAGGGGCTTCTGGCTTTGGAGTTCAGGGTTCTTGGGTTTGGGGTTCAGGGTTTAGGGCTT